GCTCCAGCCCAGGCTGCGGGGGAGGCACCGCGCCCCTCCCACGGGCAGGTTCCGGGACCCGCCGCCCCGCTTGGGAGGGCCTGCTCGCATTTTTACCTCTCCCCTCTGGGAGCCCTCGGCCTGTGGGATGGCAGGGAGCAAGGCACAGAGCTGGGGTAAAATCTCTTGGAAACTTCCTTCCTATCCCCATTCCTCTCCGTGCTTGAGGTCCCCTCCCACGGGCTCTGCACTCCTGTCTGGAGAGCGGGACAAGGCTTGGGGGTGCAAATATTGCATCATGGGCAGGAGTGTGCTTTCTGGAGAGGTAATGGGTGTCACTTTCGCTGCTTCTTTTGCCCAGGTACTGTCCTGGAGGGAGCAGGTGATGGAGGATGTCCTGCTGGGGAGATGTTGGCACACCTGGGTGCGGGCTGCTGGTGACACCTCTGTCTTTTCCCCTGTCCCTTGCAGGCTCTAGGATGCCTGGGCCAGCCGGACTTGGGTTGCCCACCTGATCCTTGTTGCCTATGTCCTGCCAGCACATCATGTTGCGCTCCTGGCGCATGAAGCTGAAGTTGCTACTTGCCACAGTGACCTTGGCCATTCTCCTCTCCTGGCTCTACCTCTTTGTGGGCAGCCTCGAATGTGAGTGAGTCCTTCTCGTCCTCCTCAGATCAAGGGATAGGCTGCAGCAGAGGGTGGGCAGAGGTGGATTAGGCCTTGGGGTGGTTGCTCTAGCCGTGCAAGTCACTGCAGTTGTATCTGACTTGAGGACATCTCCAGGGACATCTCTGGAGATCGGGGGAGCAGAGCTGAGATGTCGACTGGGCACCTGTGAGGCGTGTTGGGACCTCTCAATTGTAGCTCTGCCCCACCATTCACACCTGGTCTCTCCTGGCCTTGCCATGCCCTTTGCATGCCCCTCTCTCTTCCACAGATGGCCGCTTCCTCCTGCTGCCGCCCTGTCTGGGCGAGCAGCCGAGCCGGGATGTGGAGCGGGAGGCGCTGGCCTCACGGGTGCGCAGGGTGGAGGAGGAGAACCAGCAGCTCCGGCTGCAGCTCGGCCAGGCTCAGGCGGAGGGCAGCGATGGCAGCCCGCAGTGGGGGGCTTCTGCAGAGGACAGAGACCCCCCTGGGGGTGAGAGGAGCAACCACACGGCCTGCCCCAAGCAGCGGACAGTGCACAAGTGTGAGGTGGGTGATGACACCGGCGGAGTGGCATTGTGGATAGGGAATGTGAGAGGGGAGGCTGGGACCCTGTGGAGCATGGATGTATGTGCAACTCACCTGGCACTGCTCTCCCGGTACTCTGGCTTGCTGGGGCCCCATCCTGGCTCTCCACGGTGCTCAGTGGGTGAGGGTGTCTTCCTTCTCCAGAGAAGGAGACCAGACAGAGGGAATGGCAGCAAGACTCCTGCTCCCTCGTTCTGAGTTAGGGAACTCCCACCTCTCTTTGAGGCTCCTTCACATGGGAAAGGTTGAGTTTTGAAGCCTCTCCCTGTAGTGTGGTCCCAGGGAGGAGCTGACAGCCCCTGCAAGGAGGGGGTGTCCAGTCTCAAAAAGGCACCATTTGTCTTTGGGCAGCTCCTTCATGTGGCGATTGTGTGTGCCGGGCACAATGCGAGCCGGGACGTGGTCACCCTGGTGAAATCCATCCTCTTCCACAGGTAATGGGGAGATGTGCCAGAGGCCTGGGGTTCTCAGATGAGTTGCTGCAGGCTGCAGCAGGGCAGTGCTGCAGAAGAGGGGCTCTAGGACCTCTCTCTACCCCTTCTGCCACTGCTTAGAGGGACAGAGGGGAATTTGTTTCACACAGAGGGTTTGTTTTCCATTTGCCCTCTCAGCTGATGTCTGTCCCATGGTAGGGATGGGGAACTGTGTCCTCTTAATTCTGCTGTGATGCTGAAAGTTGCTGTGCTTGCCCTTGGCAGGAAAAACCCCCTTCACTTTCACTTCATCACGGATTCAGTGGCCCACCAGATCCTCCAGACACTCTTCCAGTCCTGGATGGTGCCTTCCGTCCATGTCAGCTTCTACAATGCCGATGATTTGAAGGCAGGTGCTTGCCCTCCCTTTGCCCTGTCCCAAGCCAATGCTTAGAGGGTCAAGGGGAGCAGCAGAGAGGGATGAGTGGATGGAGAGTGATAAATTTTTTCTTGAGGATCCCTGGCTCATCCCCTCCTCCTCTGGGCTTGTTGCTGGTGCTGCTGAGAGGGGAGCACAAGGCTGGTACTGGTGGAGTGGGGAGGTGCCTTGCTGTAGCAGAGGCTCTTGTGGCAGAGCTGAGTGCCCCAGTGAGACACTGAGTTCCAGGTGGGGGTTCTGGTGGCTGGGGGAAATGCTCCAGCCTCTGCTGGCTCCACAGCTCTGCATGCCTTTCTGTTGCTGGCCTCCTCTGCATGGGGTGCTGGGACACACAGCTGTCCTGCCTGGGCAGGGGAAGGGCATGGCTGTGCCCAGCCCTGAGGTGTGTTGCCTTGCAGCCAGAGGTGTCATGGATCCCCAACAAGCACTACTCTGGCATCTATGGGCTGATGAAGCTGACACTTACCAAGGCACTACCCTCCAACCTCTCCAAGGTCATTGTCTTGGACACAGACATCACGTTTGCCACCGACATTGCTGAGCTCTGGGCTGTCTTTGGAAAGTTTTCTGGTGAGGACAGGGTGCCCCTGGGGCCCTGGCAGGGCCTTGGATGCTGGGCTCAGGGTGGCAGTGCCTGCCTGCCATGGCACCAGCACAGTGGGTTTGCTTGGGCCCTCTGAACCAACAGCAGTATGAGCTGTGTCCATGTCCCTGTGTTTCCTCAGAAAAGCAGGTGATTGGGCTGGTGGAGAACCAAAGTGACTGGTACTTAGGCAACCTGTGGAAAAACCACAAACCATGGCCAGCCCTGGGACGTGGCTTCAACACAGGTGAGTGTGGGCTGCCAGAGTGGGAAGTGCAGCCTCATGGCACATGCAGCTGAGGTTCCACTTGGCACAGGGAGACTGGGAGAGGCTCAGGTAAAGTAGGGAAGGGGTGGGCACAAGAGGTCTGCTGCAGCAGGGTTGTGTGGGTGGGCACAGAGAAGTGGCCTGTCCCAGGGGCTGAAGGCATGCAAGGCAGCTGTGCCTCAGCTCTGTAGTGGCTGGGTGCTCTCTCCATGACCCAGTGCCCTCTCTTCTGGCACTCAGGGGTGATCCTGCTCCTGCTGGACCGCCTGCGGCGCCTGGGCTGGGAGCAGATGTGGCGGCTGACAGCAGAGCGGGAGCTCATGAGCATGCTCTCCACCTCGCTGGCTGATCAGGTAACTGTCCCTCCTCTGGAGCAGCTTGGTCCTTCTGCATTCCTGTAGCCCTGCTGGCACAGGGGATCTTCCCCATCCACTCATGCATTCACCTTATGTCGTAGGATATCTTCAATGCGGTGATCAAGCAGGACCCATCCCTGGTGTACCGGCTTCCCTGCTTCTGGAATGTGCAGCTCTCTGATCACACCCGCTCAGAGCAGTGCTACACTGAGCTCTCAGATCTCAAGGTGGGTGGGGTTGCAGCTTTTGAGAATGGGGAGGGCCGGAAGGACAGTGCAGGCACTGGAGGTCCAGGGGAGTCAGCATGGGGCCTGAGGGCTTGGGGAGCCTGGCACTGCTGACTTCCCTTACATGGGGTGACACACTACTGCTCAGGTGATCCACTGGAACTCGCCCAAGAAGCTGCGGGTGAAGAACAAGCATGTGGAGTTCTTCCGTAACCTCTACCTGACCTTCTTGGAGTATGATGGGAACCTGCTGCGCAGGGAGCTTTTTGGCTGTGCCAGTCTTCCCAGCCCACCCAGGGACCAGGTGAGGCTGGCTGCGACTCTGCCTCCAACCCCAGAGCTTTGGGTGGGCAGAGACTTAATGCAACCTCCCCTGGGTTTCCTACTCTCCCTCACCTTCACGGTGTTGCAGTTGCAGCAGGCGCTGGAGGAGTTGGATGAGGACGATCCCTGCTATGACTTCCGCCAGCAGCACCTCATGCAGCACCGCATCCACCTGTTCTTCCTGCAGTATGAGTTCCTGGCCTTTCCCAGCCCCACCGATGTCACCCTCGTGGCCCAGCTCTCCATGGACAGGTACTTGCTACTAGGACAGGTGGGAAGTTGGAACCCACCTCCACTCCTCTGGGCATGCTCCACAGCTTTGGAGCTACCAGGGAATCTCATTTCATCCTTCTTACACCAGCATTTGGCAGTCAGGAACAAAACCCCAAGCTGGGAGCATCAGTTCTTCCTGCTCTGTCCCGAGCCGGGCGTGACTGGCACGCGGCTCTCTGGAGGCGCCCAGTCCTGGGTTTGGCTCAGCAGCTGCCGCAGGGCAGGTCTGGCTCTCAGGCTGTGCCCTCTGCTCCCCAGGTTACAGATGCTGGAGGCCATCTGCAAGCACTGGGCAGGCCCCATCAGCCTGGCGCTGTACATGTCGGACGCCGAGGCGCAGCAGTTCCTGCGCTACGCCCAGGCCTCAGAGGTGCTGAGCGCCCGCCGCAACGTCGCCTACCACATTGTCTACAAGGAGGGGCAGTTCTACCCCATCAACCTCCTGCGCAACGTGGCCTTGGCCAACACGCAGACGCCGTACGTCTTCCTGACGGACATCGACTTCCTGCCTATGTATGGCCTCTACGATTACCTCAGGTAAAGGTTTTTACAGCTGGCTCTTGCTCGACCTGCTGGGTTCCCCAAGCACCAGAGTTTTCAGGAAATGCCTTGGGCAGCGGCTCTCAATATGCAGAAACTGTTTCCTTTGTGTTCAGCCTCGGAGTCCTGCCCTTACTTTTGTCAGACACCAGTGGATGAGGAAGGAGCTGTGGCTGTGAGGGTTGCCCTGTTCCTCCTATTCCTGTGTGGTACCACTGCAAATTTTCAAAACCCATTAATACCTGTGTGGCGTGGCTGAAGAAGGAGGCTGTGGCCATGCCGCACAGACAGGGAGACCTCACACCCTTTCTGCTACCACAGGAACTCCATCCAACAGCTGGAGCTGCCCCAGAGGAAGGCAGCTCTCATTGTGCCGGCATTTGAGACCCTGCACTACCGTCTGACCTTTCCCAAATCCAAAGCAGAGCTGCTCTCCATGCTGGACATGGGCTCCCTCTACACCTTCAGGTAGGGACTAGCACTGTCCTGCCATCCAAGCAGAATCCAGCTGTGTACCCTTATGCCTTGGGGCTGTGCACCCCCTGTCTGAGAGGGGGGGTAGCAGACCCCCTGCATTCTCTACTGTCAGTCTCTCATTTCCATCTCTCCCTGTAGGTACCACGTGTGGCCAAAAGGCCATGCCCCAACAGACTACGCCAAGTGGCGGACGGCCACCGTGCCCTACCGCGTGGCGTGGCAGCCAGACTTCGAGCCTTACGTTGTAGTGAGGCGAGACTGCCCCAGGTATGACCAGAGGTTCGTGGGCTTCGGCTGGAACAAAGTCTCCCACATCATGGAGCTGGATGCACAGGTGGGTGAAGGGCTCCTGGCACCGCGGAGGCGCCGGCAGCTGGGGGCTTGTGGCTGGGCAGTGACGTGTTGGTACCGCCAAGCCGATGATGGTAAGGGCTGCTGCTCTATCCCCAGGAGTATGAGCTGCTGGTCCTGCCCAATGCCTTCATGATCCACATGCCCCATGCCCCCAGCTTCGACATCTCCAAGTTTCGCCTGAGTGCGGGGTACCGGGGCTGCCTCCAGACGCTGCGGGAGGAGTTCCACCAGGACCTGTCACGGCGATACGGGGCTGCTGCACTCAAATACCTCACTGCCGAGAGAAGCCTGTGATGCCTGGGGACAGTGGGTGTGGGGTACGAGCAGCACACTGGAGAAGGGAGGGCGCAGCGCCTCCCTCCTGCCCCTGCCCACCACCGCAGCCCAGCCCGAGGGAAGGGAGTCGGCAGCACAGCCTCTCCAGCCCACCAAAGGGATGCCTGTAGATAAGATGGAAGACATCAGCTGCAAGAACAGGCAGTGCCTGCAGGTCAAGCTGCTGCAGCCTTCCTGTGATACAGGGGAACCTCCCCATGCCAGGAGCCAGGGGTGGGGTCTCCTCCCTTCCCCTTCCTAGCGGATGTGGATTCTTCATTAGCTCACCTCACCTTGAGGCCTGGCTCCTCCAGAGATCTGGGAGCTGTACCCTACCCTGTTCTGCCTCTGCTCAATGGTCCCAGGTCTCACTCCTCCACACACTCCTCTGGGGCTTTGGTGAGTTGGAGATGAGGTTTTGGAGCAACCTTTTACATACTTTGTGGAGCAGGCTCAGAGGAGGCCTCCCAGCACCCTAGGAGGAGCAGCCAGGGTGTACTGCGAGCAGTTGGAGCCTTGGTACAAAGCCAGATCAAGGCTGGCTGGTTAATGGGGGGAAATATTATTATTCCCCATCTGTATGGATGCAGTCTCCAGTGGAGCTGGCCCCATACAGGTGGTGTGGGGGGTCACCCAGAGCAGGCTGCGCTGTCTGTTGTTCCCAGCAGTGGGCTCCCAGGATGGACCTGCACCTCCCAGCTGGGAGCAGCCATGCTGGTGACAGACCCTGTCCTGTGCTGGTATTGTCCCATGGGGCAGGGATGCCAGCCATCCCCATGGGCGAAACAGCAGCTTCATGGGCCAGCACAGGTGGGGACCACCTTCCTCCTCCCCAGCTCTTTGCAGCACAGTTGTTGCCATCAACAATCAGGGACGTGACTGACACTGGACAAGACCATAGCTGAACACTGGCAAGAACCCTATGCTGGGAGCAGCTTGACTGGACACTGTTCTACTGCTATCACACACTGGAGCACAGAGGATATATTGCTTTCCTCACACTATTTAAATTATTTAATACTTTCCTCGTAAGAATTCCATAATTAGGGTGTCTGGGGTTTTTTTTAAATCTTTTCTTCTTCCCAGATGATTTTGCTGGTGGCCCTGGAGGCTCTCCAGGCCAGTTGCTGCTGCAGTTTCCACTGTTCTCTCCTTAGCTTTGCTCTGGGCTGCAGGGGCCAGCTCTGTACAGGGTGAGGGTTTCCGTCCATGGTGGGAGCGGCTACGAGGAGCCATAGAAAGCGCGGGATATGGGAAGGGCACAAGCGCCTCTTGCTTATTCTCTCTTTTTAATTTAATTTTTAAATTAAAGCTTTTTTATTCTTTTTCATATTCTTGTTAAAACTGCCTGGTTATTTATTTTTTTTCTGCTGTGAGCCTTCATGTGTCCTCTGGAGGGAAGGGAGCAGGAGGAGAGCAATGGAGGAGTAGCCCAAGGCACACAGGTACCCTGCCAGCTCTGAAAGGGCTGGTGCTGCTGACTAAGGTTGGCTTAAGGCTGATGGTTCCTGTGCTGCAACAGGACCCAGGCAGCCTGCCTGCACAGCCAGCACCCCTGCATTGGAGCCTGGGCCATCATGGCTTAGGCACAGAGTCAGTTTAATCACACCCAAGTAGAAGAAAATGTGGTTTCATGTGGCAGTGCTGCAGCTCGTCCCCTAGAGCCTTGACTTTATAAGACTTGGGCATAAAAGGCAGCTTCACATCTGCTGGGGGGAGGACGAGGACGGTTTGCCAGGAGCAAGTGTTGAGGCTTTATTTGGGAAAGGGTTGTGAAGATATTGCTCATCACTATGAAGCCAAGAACAGCTCCACCTCACCAGTCCCTAGCAAGCAGCTTTCATTTAATACAGCCCGAGCTCACTGATACTGTGCTGCTGCTGCACTAAGCAAGATCAGAGGGTTAGATCAGATCTAGATATTGCTAGAGCCATGGTGCAGCAGTGCTGAGATGGAGCAGGCCTCTTCCAGATGATTCTTTGGTAGATAGGAGGCAATAGAAATGCTGGTTGTTTTGGAAGGTGCGCTGCTATGTCTGTAGCAGGAGGGCTGTACACTATCATTTTCAGATAATCCTTCCCAGCCTGGACAGTTCCTGGCCCAAAATGTTCCTGCCAGGGTGGAGGTATCTGGAAGTAAGCCCAGCTTGGGTTGGTCTCCATGTGCCCTCTGCCGGGCAGCATCAGCTGGGAGGCACCCACAGAGTCAAAGGCAGGGAGATTGAACTGAGCACAGCCCCTTTTGGAGCCAAAATTAATTTCTCCTCATGTAGTGCCCTTCTCCCTGCCAAGAAAACGAGCCAGGGTGTTACACAGCCCTCGCACAGAGCCATGCTCAGAAGCCCCTCCTGGGTGCTGGAGGCTTGCTATGGGCACTGCTACAACCCCTGTGCCTGTGGGACCCACTGTCCCCACCTGGTACATACAGCTAAGGAGACAAGAGATTTTACTGTGTTTTATTTAGTAAAATGTTAAAATAAATAAATACAAATTGATCAGATGCTCTGTACCCCCTCCCCCCAACTTTAATTTGCTAAAATCTAAACACATTTGTACCAAAACTGAAACCACAAGGAACTTGAAGGCAGCAGATACTGCAGATCACTATGAGCATCAGGCTAAAAAAAATAGAGATATTTAAAAAACCCAAACCAGTTCACAAGTGGGTGTTCTCATGGTGTGATTCTGTGACAACAGAGCAGTACCAGTCAGAAAGGGCATTTTACACCAGGGCCTGCAAGGAAGGGAGATTGGTGGGGAATGGGGCAGCACAGGTGCCACTGGCTCACGGAGGACAGAGCCCATGGCTTTGCCATTAGAAACCCAGCTGGGAGAGAAGCTGCCATCATCCCATGCAGCACCAGGCCCATGGCTGCAGGGACAGCACTGCCAGAACTGGGGGCTTGTCACCAAAATCCCTTGGAGAAATCAGACAGACTGGGGGAAGGACCAGGCTCAGACACAGAGCCCTTCAGTGTGAGCTCCTGCTCTGGGCCCATGCCAGGACTCCCACTTTACAGCTCAGTCTTGGTGAAACACCAGCTGGGCATGGGGAAATGGGACGAAGCATGGCACACAGGTGGGGCAATGGCATCAATAGATCTACGGAGATGCTGCCGCTGTGATCGCAGGAACATGAGGCCGTGATTGAAGCCCGAGTGTTTTCTCCTAAACAAGCAGAGCTGCCTTCACAACCCTCCTGCCCTCAGCTGCAGACAAGGAGGTTTGCAGAGTAGAGCCAGCCAGCTCCCTAAAGAAAACTTGGCATAGGCAGCCACCCCAGTGCCACACCAGACCTTGCAAGTGGCAGCAGCTCACCACCACCTGTGTCCACTGCTGTTGACACAGCAAAGTTGTTTCCTTCCTCCACAGGAGCCAGGACAGGTCGACACGACTATCAGGCTCCCCTGCTTCCTGCTGTTACCTTGCTTAATGGAGTTTGGAATGCATGCTTTGCTTCTGTGGGGCTGTGAGAGGAAGCCAAGACACCTCTGACCATGTAAGATGGCACTTGGGGGGGACCCTGCAGCTGTAATTGGAGTGAAGCAGCTTGTGGGACATGACTGCTGCTGGCTCTGCTTGTGTGGGGCTGCCAGGACGCTGCCTGAGTCTCAGAGGCTTATGCAGAAGCAAAAACCTTCCTTAAGGAGGGTCTTGGCTGCCTGTCACATATGACATCAGTAGCAACTCAGAGACAATGCACCTTCTGGAAAGGAGAGCTGACACACAAGACACTGCCTGGCTCTAAAGTCAATCACTGTTTTGATGTCAGTGATAATTAAATAAAAAAACATAAGAGACTATGATTAGAAATTACACATTAGCCCAGAACAAGCAGAAACATGCAGCCTCCTACTGCACCCAGCACGGGGCTTCTTTCAACAGTGCCTACCCCAGTGCCTGCAGCCATGGAAATCTGCTCTTCCAGAGTCAGAACTGCCAGTACCTGTCTTACAGAGGGGAATTTGAGGCACAGAGCATTCTCCTTCCCTGCCCCAGCAATTCTGGCCCCACCCGAGACGCCAACACCTGGATAACAAGCCAGGGGAACCCCTGCCCTTATACGTGCACAACATGTACCCAGTGCTGCTGCAGTATCAAACCTCAGTGCTGGGGATCCAAAATCAAGGGTGGCCACAGAACACAGCCCCAGGAGCTGCCCTGTGACACTGCCTCCCTTCCCCACCTGAGCTATAACCCCCAAGGCTCACTAAGCTCTGGTTGTTCACTAAGTGTTTTCTCAAAGCACAAAGGCAACAATACTTCATTTGTTTTCCGACAAAACAGATGTAAGAAGGCTGGTGACAAAAGGGCAGGAATCGGTTTAGGTTTACTTTTGCCAGTGTAAATTTAGGGAAAAGAAAAAAGATGCAGAAGGTGGTGCTGAGCTGATCAATACTGCTCACTGCTGCTGCTGCTGCCTTTCTGTGCCAGCTCTCCAACCATGACAGACAGAGCCACGCTCGCAAGAGTTTTGAGTTCCCCAGGCACTCCTGATAGTGAGCAAGTCCTTAAGTACTTCCTCCTTTCTAGAGCTAAGGACTGGGCTGAGTTTCTCCATCTGAAGCCTTTGACACCTGCTTGGATACCAGAGAGTGAAGAACAGGCACAGAGCTTATCCCTGGTTACCCAGGGTGCCCCATGGTCTGGCTGCTTAATGTAGCCTAGAGGCAGGCCCTGAGCTCCTCCCAGGTTACATTAAACTTAACACATGTCCCTGCTTAGCTGCACTGCTGAAATGCCCCTTTCCATGTTTCTTTTCCAAAGAAACCAGATCCTGAGAAAGGGAGGCATTGCTCACACAGAGGGATTTTGGCACAGAACTGCCAGATAGGACAGCCCAGAGAGCAGGAAACTTCCAGATACTCCAGGAGGTGGCTGAGAAGTACATGAATCACATGTCCTACTCCATCTTGTCTCCTTCACTCACACAGAATCCAAGACCTCTGTCTCTTCAGCTAGGCTCATTATAACACTTGAACTAGGAAGATGCAACCACACCAGCAGAGCTGAACCTTTAGCTAGTTTTGGGAATGTTTATAGCCAAGAAAATGTTTAATTAATACAGATTAATTAAATTAGATTTAGATTAGAGTCCAGATTAGAGTAGACTCTAGCTGCCTTGAGGTCTGCTTGAGCTGCCTTATCCCCATGTTGTAGCTTAGAAGTTAAATAAGGTTCTCATTAGGCTGGGAGCACTCGGCAGCAGAAGCAGAGCTAGGGATGACTTAGTGCCTACTTCCTTTTCCATCTGCACCTAAGCAGCTCTTTTCTCTCACCACACCTGCTCCTTTGGGAACACAAACCAACCCATGTCAGAAATCGAGGTAGGATAAAAGAGCGGTTTTGTTCTATTCTTTCCACTGAAATTTCAAACCCTGTAACTGCAGGAATACCCCATCTAGTCAGAGGAGAGACATGGATTCACTCCTGGATTTTTCCTACCCTCACTTTCCCTCCTCATGTCTTTCCATATTTTTTCTCTCTGTTCTGATTTACCCCATGTAATCTTTGTTTCCTTTGCTGCTCCTGCTTTTTCTTTCTTCATTTTCATCTCCAGCCCTGTACCACTTCTCTGAAGAGGCTTCTGTCCTTTAATTTGTCCCTTGCAGCATCCACCTCTGGCCCAGGGAGATGGGAAGCCCTGGCCTGGCCATTCTCATTAGAAACACTTCAGGGACTTGCACAGCACAGTGATTTCCACAGCAGCCATGCTCTTGGCAAGCCTCTTTTCTGTTCACTACTCAGGTATTTTAGTAATACTGACAGGGATACAGACAAACTCTCACACAGGTAAGCTCCTGCTTTTCTGATACAAGCCCACAATTAAATTAACCTCTAGGAGAGGTGTTTGTATTTTCATGGGTCTTTAATTACCAAGCTTACCAGTGCATGGTATGAATAATTTTCTTTATTGGCAAGTTGATCAACTATGTGCTCAGCCTATACAAGACACAATGATGCAGAAAGTTCTTGTCCCAGATAAGAGAGAAACAGGAGGGAAATGGGAGCTAAGGGTAAAGGATAGAGAGACTCGTATTTTTCAAGTATTACATTCCATTCTGTAGGAGTTACAAACAGGACTGAGGCTTAATGAAGGATCTGAGTAAGACAGCAATAACCTGGAGACAAGACATCTGCAGCTCTCACTTTTCCTGATCCCATCTGATTTTTGGGTCATTCCCTGGTCCAGGTCTGACCACTGGAAACAAGGATCCAGCAGCATGTCACTGCAAGGTTTGCTCACACACCCTCAGAGACCAGTACCTAGCTGGTTGCTGGAGGGTTCTTTGGACCTTTTGCCT